TGCTTATGGTTGTTCCTGTGCTTAGGAAGCCACCTGAAGACAGGAACTAGCTTCATGCCTCTCTGGTCTACCCCATAGAGCCTAGCTGTGCTTGGGGCACTCCGTCATTTTAGAAAAATCACAGTCACATCCACTGTTGACTCCCTGGTTTGTGTCCCCAGCCCAGACCTATCCTTTGAGCTCTAGTCTTGCATCATTGTAGTGATTATTAAGCTGTTGTCTCTCAGCCCCAAACTGTCGTTTCTGTACTAGGTTTGTGGTGTTGGGACTGGGGCTCTGCAGACTGCATTTTCCCTTGCCAGCCAGCTCCATTAGGCTCAGCCAGTATGGAGTGCCAGAGGAAGCCTAGAAGCCTGGGGGTGGGAGGAAGAGGGTGCTTCTTTCTGTTTTGCTCACTGTTCTGGGCAGCATCATTGCAGCTATAATAGTCCTTCTCTGACAGTAGCAGCGGAATCCAGTAGTAGCTGTTGCTTTCAGTTTCCAGCTTTTTTCCCACACTCTTAGAACGAGCTTCTTGGAACCCCCTCAAATACACCAGCGTCAGCCACGCAGCGATCTCTCTGCAGAGATTTGGGTCTCAGCGGAGGAGGGCTTTGCTTTGAGCTTCTGATAACCAGGGGCAGATTAACCAGTAAACAGGGTATGCACAGGCTTAATTGTGCTTACTTGCTAATCTGTAGTGCACAATTTGACATGAGTTTCACCACATCTTAGACATGGTGAAAAACAGGTGAAATTGTGCACTACAGATTAGTAAGTAAGGGCAAGTAAGCCCGTGCATAGCTTGCTTATTCGGTAATCCATCCCTGCTGATAACCCAGCTTCTTCCTTTCATCCCCCCAGCCCTAGGGGTGACAGCTGCTCCCTTCATTTGCTATCTGTATTATCCCATTGTCCCTTTTCTGCCCTCCAATATCTGTTTAACCAATTCCCTATATTCAGTTCTCTCTGTGAAAATAACTGCTGTGGTTTCTGTTTTCCTGACTGAATCCAGACTGCTACCATACCCAGCTGCCACTATTTGATTCCACTTGGCTATCCCTCAAGAATCTCACACTTCACTTATCTAAGGCAGAGCACTGATATTTCTCCCAACTTTGTCTGTTCTTCCCTGTCTAGATCCGTCTTCTACCCAGCTGCTTAGTCACAATCTTGGGTAGCATCCTTGATTCCTCTCTCTCCCTCATCCCCATACCCCACTGGTCAAAGAGAACTGTTAATTCCACCTCCAAAATAGATCTTGAATCCACCCCTGAGGCTCAGGTAACCATGCTTTTGTGCTTGAAAAACCAAAAAACCAAACCTGTTGCAGTCCTGTCGTTTCCAACCCTAGAGGACAGAGTAGAACTGCCCCATTGGGTTTTGTGCCTAGGCAATGGCATAGTCTTCCTGCTTTTTCTCTTGTCCCCCTACAACTCATTTCCTACACAGAACGCAAAGTAATACTATTAAAATATAAACAGGATTATGATACTGCCCTGCTTAAGATCCTTCAGTAGCTTCCTGATACACTTAGAAAAGTCCTAGCCCTCTGTCATGGCCTACAGGTCCTGCCAGGGCCATTGACCTGTTCTTCTCTCCTCCTTGCACCCTGTATTCTAGCCTCACTGACTGAGCTTCTGTTTGTTGAATATGCCAAGAAGCCCTTTAATATCTCAGAGTCCTGGTGGCGCAGTGATTAAGAGCTATGTCTGCTAACCAAGAGGTTGGCAGTTTGAAACTACTTGGAAACCCTGTGGGGGCAGTTCTGCTCTGTCCTGTAGGGTCACTGTGAGTCAGAATCAACTCAATGGCAGTGAGTTTTTACTGTTTCAGGGCCTTGGCATCTGTTGCTCCCTCTGTCTGGAATGCTTTTGTCCTCTGCTTATCACAGGTTGGGTCCTTCCCATTCACCTCTTTGAGGAGCCCTTCACGGGCACCCACTTTAGAGTTAATACCCCTACTCCAAGCCCCTTTCCTTCCTACAACTTCTCATAGTTTTCAGTTATGTACAGATTTATGTCTTTACTTCCTTTATCTGTTTCTCTCATTAGACTATAAGATCTATGAGACATGGATTGTGTCTGTTTAATTCACCACTGTGTCGTCAGCACCTTGCACAGTTCCTAGATCTCAATATAGATGTGCTAAATGAATGAACAGATCTAGAAGGTACATCAAATAAGTAAATAAAAAAGGAAAGAAAACTAATGTTTACTTAGCTAGCAGCTGTACTAACATGCTGCAAGATGTTGTCACATAGACACTGGTATTAATTAACTATTTCTGTAGCCACAGACTGTTCTCTAAAACACGCCGATAAACCAAAACCAACCCATTACCATTGAGTTGATTCCAACTCATAGCAACCCTATAGGACAGAACAGAACTACCCCATAGTGTTTCCAAGGAGCGGCTGGTGGATTTGAACCGCTAACCTTTTGGTTAGCAGCTGAGCTCTTAGTCACTGAGCCACCAGGGCTCCAAACAAGCTGATAGGGATGTCAGAATATGTAGATACACAGAGAGATTAGTGCTCAGCATAGTGGAATATATTTGTAAGTATGTATTTATGAATCTATTGATTATATATGACATACATATACATATGTACTAATATACACCTACTCCTCACTTATCAACTATCTCATTTTCTGACATTTTGCATTTATGACAATAGTAAAAAATCTACTATCTATTTTGTGTGTTAATGACGTATGTCTGGCAGTAACGAATGCTGACGTGAGGCAAGAGTAACGCTAACTGTGATGGTTAAGATTGTGTCAACTGGACTGGGCCATGATTCTCATAACTGGGCAGTTATATAGTGAATTAATTTGGCAGTTATGTAATGATGTAATTTGTCAGTTTTGTAATGATGTCATCATCCTCCATTTTGTGATCTGATGTGGTCATCCTCCATTTTTGCTTAACACTGACTGATTTTTGCATAACCACCTGATCTTTAGAACCTAACCGTGTCAATAAGTAAGCACACACACACAGACACACATATATGCCTTATAAAACTTTAACTTTTTAAATAGTATTTTCCAGTTTGTAACATGCTTTCACATATATTACCTCATTTGAACCTGACAACAATCCTAAGAGACAGGGCAAGGAGCATTATTCTCATTTTATTGAAGATTATCTGTAAAATATCTCTAATCAAATCACTTGTTGTGTAGATGAGGGAGCTGATACCAGACTGAGAGAGGGACTTGTTCAAGGTCACACAGCAAGTTAATGAAGAGCTGGTGTTAGAATTAGGTCCTCTGCCTCCTAGCCTGCTTTCTAACACCTCTGGGAGTGTTCTGGGAGGAGGCACTCCCTGTGCATCAGAACCCTGGGGACCAAACGATGGACAGATGCTTCTAAGCTGTTAAGAAATCCCATCTTGCATTTGGTAGAATGGCTCAGCTACTGATTAAGTGGGCTTCTCGAGAATCCCACGAACTGTCTTGGTCACTGAATGCAAGTTTATGTTTTCTCTAGAGAGGCAAGATCAGGGTGCCGTAGCTTAATTCTGGTCGCCCTTGTTTGCACCATGAGTAGGTATGATCACTGTAATGCAATAGTCATACAGTTCCTTTTTTTTAGTTTAAGTTCATTTCAGTTTATCAGTAATAAAATCCCTGCTGCCTTGTCATTTAATTCTCTCCCCATGTTAATGTTGATTCTGAAGCCTTTTACAGAAATGATTATATGGTAATACCAAATTTGCTAGTGGATCCAAGCCATCATTTACAGTAATAGGATCATAATAAAGCTCCCTGGGGTATCCCTTCTTGTAACATGTTGGCGGGAGGTAAGGAATCTGCTCAGTGTTATCTTCTCACATTATCAGAAGATCCTTACTAGTGACTCTGACACCGAGCTTCTGGGAAAAGCAAAGAGTTGCAGAACAGTGGTCCTGCTGGTGAGGCTAGATGGGCCGGTCAGTCCAACCAATGGGATGCTCATAAAAGGATGGAATTAGAGGAGATGGAGACCAGTGACTTCCTGTCCCTTTCAGTGCCTACTCCCACTCCCATGTGTAGACCTTCATTGTGCAAATTGACATAGTAGGGGGTGTTCAGAGGAGAGTCATTCTATCTGTCTGCCTTGTGGTAGTAGTTCCTTCTTCCCTCCTACTAATGTGTAATGTGTGCCTCACTGTGCCAGGCACTGAGGGTACGAAGGTGAACGAGACACTGTCTCTACCCTAGAGATTGGGAACATATGAGGGCTCCTAAGTATCACAGGGGCTGTAGTGGGTACTCTATGGGAAGTAGGGGTGAGGGAGGAGGGCCCAGTTTAGTGGGAACTCAGAGGAGGAGGGAGGCGTCATCCCCACCTGGAGAATCAGCAAAGGCTTCTCAGAGGAAGTGGTTGAGCCAAGTTTTGAAAGATAAGTAGGTACTTTCTAGGCAGAAATGGGGTAGGATTTAGGAGATGGTCATTCTAGGCAGATAGGGCCCTGTAAGGCAAGAAATCTTGGAACTTCATATTGTCTGAGGGCCAGGCTGAGTTCAGCAAGGATGTAATGGACACATGACCCTGCCATTCTTTCATGCCTTGCTTCAAAGAACCATATAGCTAGAACAGCCTTGACCAGGCATTCCATCACCCCCTCCTTTGCTCTGAGGCCCAGAGGAGTGACGAGAAGAAAGGGGTGCTCTCATACTTTATAGCACAGAGGCAGACCTCAGAGCATGGGGTGAAGTTGTGGGAAGGCAAATTCAGGCACAATATGTAGAAAGAGTGTTCTAACAATGGTGGCTGCTTGATATTGAAATAGACTGCATTGGTAGGTGATGAGCTCCTTGTCAATCTGCCCAAAGACCCAATGCTAATTAGGTCAGGGCCCGAATGTACACCAAGGGTCCTGACTGCAACTAGAGGGCTCTTTTTACTACCCAGAGTCTTGGTGGAGTCTCTGTACTAACTGTCCAGGCCTCAGCAGATAAGACATACAGACTTGGTGACTGTTTCATATCCTAGTTTCATCCTAATGAACAAACAGCAAGCCACAAAGCCAGCCATTTCCTTTTATTAGCTCTTAGAAGACTCCTGTTGGAATAGCTCAGAGGTCCCAGGAACGTTCGTCTACAACCTCACTGAAGAATGTGGCGAGAAAAATACATACGTATGTGTGTATATATATGTCTGTTTTGTGGTGTGTCTCTGAGAGGCTGCTGCTTGCTCTGTGAGGGACTCAAAAGCGCCTCTGGAGGGCAGACTGGATATTCTTCAGCAGGCCCCACTTAGCTCGGTTCTTCCCACGCCCGTCTGGCGTTACTACCTGTAATCAGAAGCAAAGAGCTATGGTACCAGCCATGGGAGAAACAGAAGTTCCCAGGAAGCTTGCCCCTGCTGTGTGCCAGACGCTACACACATCATCTCATTGACTCCTCAAGCAAAACTCATAAAGCAGGTGCCATTGGCTCCATTTTACAGATGAGGAACTGAAGGTCATAAGGGTTAGGCAGCTTTCCCAAAGTCCCACACCTAATATGTGGTGGGGGTGGGATTCCCCAGACCAGGTCCCACTTCCTTTAAGGCAGCTCCTGTGACTGAGTGCTGATGGCTAATAGGGCTGAGACCACAGATGGGCTTCACCATATAGTTACCCCCTGTGTCCTCCCCCAGCATCTGGTACTTGTTTCTGTCACAGCTCTTACCAGTTGTAAGTTTCAGCTAATGTGTTTGGCTTTCTTACTAGGCTATGAGCACCTTGATTGTGGTGTGGGGGAGTGGAAGCCTTTCTTTTCCGTAGCCCCAACACTAGCTTTGGTAAAGAGAAGTTTCTTAGAAAAGTGGATGAAAGGTGAATAGAACCATAATTTGTAAATTTGCCACTTGTTTCCCTTTGATGCATGCAGAAATGCCTCTTATTATCTTTAATGATTAGCGCTATGTGGAAAGGCAGGTTGCACTGGGCATTATGGGGGGCAGGGAGGTTGTAGCAGGACCCTCCCAGAAGTCTCACCAACTCAGCTTAGATGCGGACCTGCGGACCTTACCTTGAAGGTGTGGGTTTCTCCATTTCCCTGGTCTAGCAGTATTCGCATTCCTTCCCAATACACATTTACTGAAGAGGCATTTAGGGAGTGAGGTTGAGACCCAGGGATGAGAGACAGATATGAATAGACCACTGGATCAGTGGGTTCTCCCTGGATGAATGAGGACTGGTGAGACAGATGGTTTGGGTGGTGAAAAGGAATGTGTACACAAAGCACGAAGTCTCTATATACAGAACTTTTAGCTTTCTATGTTTGTATTAAAAGGGAAAGGATAAAAAAACTAGACGCTACTAGCATATGCTGTCTAGTTTTACAAAATTTATTTTCAGTTGTAGGGAAAAAGGGCTGCATGTGAGGTAAAGATCATACTATATGCATGGCATTAGATTGCCCACTGCTGGGTAACAATGGAGATCATAATAGAGATAACTCTGATAAAAGCAATATAAATAAGGTAAGATATACACAGTGCTATTGGAAGCAATGAGGAAGACGGTCATGAGGGGTCCGGAACTGATTTATAAAAAATAGAGGATTTGATCTCTGCCTTATAGTCAAGATCTCTAAAGGTAAAGATTGAGGATTAAGGGGTGTCTATGAACAAGGGGGTCCAGGATGGAAGAAAAATAACTTGAAATACAAAAGAAATTGAAATGATAGTTGGTATTCTCTTCCTTCCAAATTCCCCAGGCTTAGATGGTTTTCCAAATGATTTCTACCAAACTGTAAAGAAAGAGTAACAGGAAATAGGAAAAGAGCAAAAGCTTCTCAGATCATTTTATGAAGATAATGAAATACTGATTTTAGAACCAGATAAAAACAATATAAGCAAAAAACTATAGGTCTAGTTCACTTATGACCATAAATGAAATAATCTAAAATAAAATATGAGCTAACTGAAACCAAGTCTATTAAAAAATAATACATCAGGATCACATGGGGTTTATTCCATGAATGCAAGAAGAGCTTAGCATTAGAAAAACAAATCATATAATTCACTTCATTAATAATGGCCTAAAGGAGAAAAACCATATGATTATATCAATAATGCAAACAAACTCGTAAGATTCACCTACTCATGGCAATTTTTCTTCATAAACTAGAAGTAGAAGGAAATTTTCTTAATAAAGATTATAGACCATAAAAATGAAATAAAAAATTGTAACTTAATGGAATAACTTTAAGATTAGGAATAAGACAATGATATGTACTATCACTGCTACCATTTTATGTAGTACTCAGATCCCAGCCAAAGCTATAAAGAAAGAAAAAGAAATCTAGGTTCAAGGATTGGAAGGAAAGAGATAAAGCCATCATTATTTATAGACAGTAGGATAATATATCTGGGGAAAAGAAAGCAGAATCAACAGATAGACTCTCAGAATAACAAAAGAGATTATCAAAATTGCTGGAATCAAGATTAATCTACAAATATTAATAGTTTTTATTCTAAACCAGCAATACATTATAACATATAATCAAATACAAAATAACATTTATAACATCAATAAAATTTATACACTATCTAATTTAAGCAGGAATACATAGTTCCTGAAGAGAAAAACTTAAAAACCTAGTAAAGCACATAGAAGATTCTTTGAATAAATGGTCAAGACATGTTACAAGAATTGTCAGTTCTCTCCAAATTAATTTAGAGACTCAATGCCTTCTTAATAAAATTCTAGCTGGAGTCTTTTTTTTTTTAATATTTTATTGTACTTCAGGTGAAGGCTTACAGAA